TAAACCCCTAAGTCCTAAACCCCTAACCCCTAAACCCTAAACCCCTAAACCCCTAAACCCCTAAAACCCTAAACCCTAACGCCTAAACCCTAAACCCTAAACCCCTAAACCCCTAACCCCTAAACCCCTAAAACCCTAAACCCTAAACCCCTAAACCCTACTGAGATCCTGAGCCTAGTGGAAGTCCGAGCCTCTTGAGTCTGAGGGACTGAAGGGTGTTAAGGCAAGTTTAGGGCTTAGGGGTTTAGGGCTTAGTGTGTCGGCGATTAGGGTTTAGGGGTTGAGGGTTCAGGAGTTTAGGGCTTAGGAGTTGAGGGTTGAGGGGATTGGAGTTTAGGGGTTTAGGGTTTAGGAGTTTAGGAGTTTAGGGTACAGAGCCCCCCATGCAAATCTTGTAAACCCTGAACCTCTCCTTCGAGCCCGTCTCAGTGCATCAAGAACCCTGACTTCGAAGCTGAGTAGGTAACCTTTAACCTTTCGGGGTTTATATAGTCCTACCAAAACTGAAAAGGTTAACCTTCTTCTGGGTTCTTGTTAGGGGATCTTATTTAAGTTACCATAATGGAGATCTATTGTCAATGCTATGGTTTCCTTATTATGGTAACTGAAATAAAATCCTTAACAAGAACCCAGTCTTTGGGTTAGGGTGCTCAGCCCGGATGCCTAAAGCTTTGGGCGTCTTCGGTGCAGCTGAGGCTCAAAAGGCCCTTGAGCCAGGCCGGGATTCGGGTTTTGGATTTCGGGTTTGGGGTTTGGGGGGTTTAGGGGGTTTAGGGGGTTTAGGGGGTTTAGGGGGTTGAGGGTTTAGGGTTTGGGGGGTTTAGGAGGTTGAGGGTTTAGGGTTTGGGGGTGGGGGGCAGGGGGGCACCCCGAGATTGAGGAAGAAACGTGGTTACAAATCTAGGGTTCTCCCACTGGCTCAAAGCCTCAAGGGGGAGCAGGGCTTGTTGCTTGTTCTTGTTTAGGGATTGTAGGGTTAAGGGCTTATGGAAGAGTCGAAGGTTCGGTGACAAGAATGCGGATCTCGCGATCCCATGTCCTGAAATCCCCTAAACCCTACTGTAAACTCGAGAGACCCTTAAAACAACCCCTAAACCCTAAAGTCTGAAGACCCTTAGAAAATCCCCAAACCCCTACTGTAAACTCAAAGAACGTTAAAGTTACCGTTAAAAGCACCGAGGGAGTTCACAGTACCTCACCCACGCACGTCCGCGAAATCAGGAAGCAAAGAACATCCCTAGGGCCGGAGAAACCCTCAACCCTGACCCCCAAACTGTGACCCTAAGCCCTCGGAACTGTGACCCTAAACCTTATAAACCCTAAACCATAAACTGTGACCCAAAATCTTAAACCCTAAACTGGGACCCTAAACCTTAAACCCTAAACCCTAAACTGTGACCCTGAGCCCTAAACCTCCCTTAGCCCGGAGACAGTCAGAGAACCACTCATCAGAAACCACAGCGGCCCAAAACCCACGCCCCCAAAACCACCGAACCCCGAACCCCCAACGGTGTAGGGTTTAGGGTTTTGGGTTTAACCGCAAACCCTAACCCGCATCCGAGCCCTTCGGCCGCCGAAGCACCAAACCTCTCAAGCCTGAACCATGAAGCCCTCATTCCCCAGCCTTCAACCCCGCGAGCCCTAAACCCAAACCCTAAGCCCACTGCAAACTCTGTAGCCCTTGCATTCTCCCTTGTTACAGTAGTAAAGGGATGTACTAATAGGGCATGAGGGCTTGATAGCAAGTTCTGGAGGAACCTTACGGCAACCCTTACGGAAACCCTTACGCAAACCCCTACGTGAACCTTTACAGCAATTCTAGTAGGAATCCTTCCTTGAACCCTTATGAGGGCTCTTACCCTTCCGTAGACTCCCCTTTTAGGCTAGTAGGGTTTTACAAAAGGGCCCCTTAAAGAATCCCTAAACCCTAAACCCTCTGGTTCTA